TCGGGTCTTCCTGATTTTTATCTACTAGGTTCAACTTTGACTTTTCCATCTCCTGCATCATCCCCAGCCAATCAGGAGATGATGCTTTTGCAGCACCTCTCCCACCTGACCCAGCTCTGCCCTCACTCTAGGACTCATCCACACAGGGGCCAGAGCGAAGGTTGGCCCATGCCCCCCGGTGGCTCTCTCCTGCTCTGGAAGCCTTTCCCACCCTGGCTATGAGGGAGAGTGGGAGTCTCTTGAAAGGAAGAAAACAGCTTTCCTTGGAAAGAGTCTTACCTCTGCCGCTCCTCCTGATTCACATCATCCTCTTTAGCATCTGCATGGCCTTTTCTGTACATCCTTTCATTCCATCCTCTCCACAACTCGTGAGGGAATTATTATTCCCAATACCGAGATATGAAAGCAGGCTCAGAGAACAGGAAACTGGCTGGCCTCAACTCGAGGCCCCAGGAACCATCCGAGTAGGGATGGAAGCCTTGGGATGGGGACGTCAAGTCCAGCCCTCACTGACGTTCTCGTCCTCGTCCTGACTAAGGTGACAGCTGACCTCCTCCATGGTCTTTATCAAATCCTTTAATTGGTTCAAACAAACCATATCTGCCAAGTACTCAGAAGGGCTGGATAAGCTGCCACACAGAACACAAGGAAGGTCTCACTCATCAGGTACCAGACAAGCACCCAGAGAGGTACAAACAACCCCGTCATGCAGACAAAGATCAGACAAATTCCATGCGCACTTCCTCACAGGCATCTCAACCCAGGCCCTGACAAGACACTCCATGTGCTGCCATTACCCAAACCCATCACTGCCTCTTTGTTGAAAATAACATTTCCAAGCCAGTCTGATGTCCACTCCCCAGGCTGGACTGTACTTGAATTCACTGTCTACTGCGTGTACAGAACACCAACGCCCCCTCTGGCACCTGTGCATACTCTCAGTTATGCAGGAAACAGGTGGCAATAAACATCTTCTAAAAGTCCAGCCATTTAAAACTAACTGGGCCTTTTCCCTACAAAGGTGAATACAGGGGGCATATTTAAAGCAACTGTTGCTTTCTAAAACTATCACTAACTAAACTAATTCCATTATTGGCAAAATTAGGAATCTTGCTATGAAAAGCTTTATCCCAATCTCTTGGCATACTGGGCATAAATGTATCTTTCTAAGACACTAAGATACTAAGCTAAATGACTAATGGATGAGTCCTAAGACCCAACAGGAGATGGACACTAGAGACTTGGAAAAACAAGAGATGAAACCACTTAAAGAAAAGTTTCTGAAAACACTGGATAACCCAAAGACATCCTGCTGGTCTCAGAATTCTACACCAATTGAAAACACATCAAAAGGACATATTTTAAAACAGGGATTCTGAGGGGCAGGGAAGAGGCTTCACAGACTTTTAAGCTATCAAAAGAGAGTAAATGATGCTCCCTTCTGGATCTGCTTCGCAGCACACAGACCCTCAGGTAACAGAAGGAAACATAATCTTGTCACTTTACTCTTTACTACTGTGAGCTAAAAAAGACCCTGAACGTGGTGCCGCTGGCACTGAGTGAGTGCAGCTTTCCAGGGTCCCTGAGGCCTCCTCAGCCTGCAGCGCCACAGTAAAACGCACCGCCATCACACGGGGGTCTTCACAACCCCTGTTTTCTTTAACCTTATCACTAACTGTAAATTACACCCTAAACACCTGTGTACCTCCAAGCCTCACTATCCTCCTGACTAGCTCCCTAAATTGAACCTTAATTCCTCCCCAAACATTGTCCCTACCAAAAAGAACACTACCCTGGCCTTGCCCTTCGGGCCTCCCGAAGACTCTCTGATATAACCCTCTTACTAGCCTAACTACTTAGCTGAAAAAGGCTAAACTGCCCATATTCTTATTCAAACATATGAAAAGAGAAAACAAAATCAAAATCACAAGACAATGAGAATATCACAAAAGAAAAACAAGCTGGCAGAAAATTTTGAAATCCAGCACTGATGGAGACTGACTGTGACAATATTAGGTACCAGAAAAGAAAAGGAAGCTCTCTCTCTATCCAGGAGCAGATTCTAAACTTTATTAAATCAATCACGCCACCCATCACAGTAGCTCCCAAGCTGAAGTTTTTTAAGGATGGAGGAGAATGTGGGCATGTTTTTAGGGAACAGGGAGGTAACCAGGAAATAGGGAGAGACTGAAGATTAGAGTGAGCGAAGGGATAAGAGAAGGAAGCAAATCTGTTGGCCAAGACGGGCAAGGTGGGGGTGCGGGGATGTTCAGAAAGGGCGTGCCGCCAAGCGACTAAAAAAAAAAAGTGACGGAAAGAGTGATGGGGGATGATGGCAAGGGCTGTGAGATGCGAAGGCCAGGGTCAAGGAGCACCACTAGAGGCCTGAGCAGAGCGTATTCTGGAAAGGAAGGAAATGTCTTTTTCATCCTATGTCCTCTAAGACCAAGACTGGTCATTGCATTTATTTCATCAGCCTTGAAGCTACATTTTGCACAACTCTGTACAAAACAGCAAACAAAACACACTTGAGCTTGTGTTTTCTACGCTTTAAGTGAAATCTGCAACTGCAAAGACGTTATCTGCTCTGAACGATCCTTTGGGAAAATCTGCTCCCTTCTAATATTTTCATATATGTCCTCAATGTGTGGAGATCATTCTTATACAAAGCTAAGAAAGATGAGAACAGAAAGAACATGGAAGAGATAAAGGCCATATGAGGTTTCTAAGCCCCCCAAATATCTGATCAGATCTGTCTGTACCTTAGGAAGATTCTCAGGCCACAGTGTGAAAAAAAACTGCCTGGCAGAGAGATTGCCTACAAAGCTATTTGTGAATTGTGTGTTTTTCCCCAATAAACACCGGGATAGCTCTGAGTGACCTACACTTTCTCACCTGGCCCTCCTGGAGTACTTCCCCAAAATGGGCGGGGCTAGAATTAGGGGCACAGGGTATAACTGTCTGGGTGAAGCTCACTGGCCCGATCACCTTACCAACACTTAAGTCAAATGAGCTAGCCCCAACATCCTTAGAAAACAGATGGCTAGCTACATACTAGCTGTGGGGATAATTTCACACTCCACAGTAAAAAGATTCTTAAACGTACCCAAAGAAGTGATTCTACCTTCAGCTTACTGTCACAGAAAGGACCAAGGGCCATTTTTTCACATTTTTATCTGTTCCATGGGTTGCCACAAACCGAGAATTCATCACTCAGTGGTCAAAACATGCTGCTGCTGAGGCACAGCTGCCAGCCTGGTCTGGCACGGGGCCCACCCTCAAAAGCTTTCCAGCTTGGTAGAACCTAACAAAGCTTACTGGCACGGCCTTTGAGAACTGTGAGTTACAGCCATGTAACAAGGAGGCAAATGACACATACGGAAAACCTCTCAGCCAGCTCACTGACCATGTTTACAGAACTGAATTCCACCAACTAAAATAACCAGAGTAGAGCACGCGAGAATTGTATCTCTGAACACAGGAGGGCACAAATCTAGACCAGAGGCCATTTAACTCTTTGCTCCACCAGTGCTTCCAGATATTCCTGCCCTACCCTGCACCCGCCATGTCACTACGGCCTTAGCCGACACCTCCTGCGTGGGCCGCGGTGCCTTGGGCACCGTTTCTATCTGAGACGATCCATGATTGCAGCAACGTCAGCAACCCCTCCATTGACACAGACTGCAGCAATCCTCAAGCCATAACAAATTACCTTAATCAGGGGCTCTGACCAAAAATTTCACAAGTCTGAGGTCATCTCAGAACTTAGTCAGACAGGTCAGAAAATATTTTTTCTCATGTCTAATAAGTAAAAATTCTTAGCAGCTCCTTATCTAAAGCCATAAAATCGGTACTTCAGTTAGGTCCATCCTGGTAGTCTATCTACCCTTAGTATTGGACGAGGAAGGTCATGGCAGAGAGGGATTCACAACATCGGGACAAGGGATTCTCCCTGCCAAGTCTTCCTACCTCTTTCCTGTCACTATCAATTTTCTCTTCTGATGGAGCACCTTATCTAATGATTTCAATACAGAAATATATTTTAAGAAACAACTATTTCACCTACATTCATGTAGCACTTAGATAAAACAAAAAAGTAACATTTCTCCCTTTATATATTTAAACCAAAATAATTATCTACCATCACTTCATTAAGGTAGATTCTTTTCCTACTTCGGTGTTAATCTGCTCAAAGGTAGATGAGACAGGCTGGAAGACCATGTTAACCTCAAGAGGTCATTTAATTGCCGGGTGATGAGTGAGATACCTTTAATATACAGGATCTGTCCTGCTTGGACTCTACGTTCTTCCACACACTTTTCTCTAACTATTTTCTTTGAGGTGAGAAGTCTAAAGAATCAGAATTTGAGTTGAATCATCTGGTCCAACACACCCTTAAGCAGGAACCTCCTCAAAAAAAGATCCATGACAAGAGGCTATTCCTTCTGGGACCGAAGACTTCTGTTGTCAATGAGGTGCTTCATGCGGAGGTAAACTTTGCTTTGGGCCAGCACAAAGTCTTAGAAAGGCTGTTTCTGTATCGGTCACTGGCAGACTGGATAAGTAGGCAACATGACCTCAAACCAGCAGGCCCTTAACAGATTCGCTGGCATAAATCTTTGCTTTCATTCCAAGTTATCAACAAAGACGGCAGAGCAGTCCCCTTGAACAGGGCCCTGTGTGAGATGTCCCAAGCTGACTGAGCTGAGGCAGCACCTCGGGCTGTGTAATCAATTCATATGCACCTGACTAATGGACTGCCCTTGAGCCTATCCCTCAATCCCCACAAAATTAGGCTGGAGACGCTCAGGAGGCCTGCTGCCCTTAAACCCGAAGCCCCTAAGGGAGAAGAGCGATGTCACCTGTAAGCACTACGTAAAAAAGAGGGGTTAGCCCCCAGGGAAAAAAAAAAGGGGGGAGCCTGGCATTTCCTGATCCATTCATCTCATTAGCAAACATAACTAAACAACTGAAGTCATGACAAAATGGGCCATCCTTACCTCCACTCAGCAGCCTCATCACTAGCCAAAGCTCATCTTTCACCACAAAGGACGTATAGTAAGACACAATGTTAGGATGATGGCACTGGCTCATGGCTTGAATTTCTTTCTGTAAAAGAAAAAACAAAGCAAGCAGTGAGGCACGCATGGCTAAGATCTGAGACCAAGATTCCCTGCTCTGTTTCTCTGCTTCCACTCTCTCCCCAACTCTGCTGGGCTGGGTGACCAACCTCTCCTGGAGTTTGTCTCGCCCTCTCCCACCTTCACCCGTTAGGACGGGCTGCCTCCTAGGAACACACTCCTGCCACAACTTCAAAAGGCTGTTTCCCTCTACAGTTGAGACCTTCCATGGGGTCTGCTTATGGTGGCCCAGCTTAAATTCAGTCTTTGTTCTCCCTATTTCTTACAGAACTTTGTCTAGACTTCCATAATTTTAAAGTTGGAAGGAACCTCAGTAAACCATCCACCCAAGCCATCCCTCATTTTGTGGACAGACCCAGGCCAGATTCCACTGCCCTCCCGGCCCCACCACTTACTGACCTTACAGACAAAGATCACACCACCTCAGCACTACCTTCCTGTTTCTAAACCAAAGATTTAAAAGCAACAGAATCATTATTGTGACCAAGGTTTAATGAGGTGGCACTATTTTAAGATTCCACCTGAAATGAAAAGTTTTCTCTCTAAAAAAGTAAAAACAGAAAGAAATAAAACCCTACAAGACTTCAACAAGCTCTTTCTCTAAGATGAAATTTTAAAAAGAGAAATTTAAGTCTTTTTCTGATTATGAAATATCAATAAAATATAATAAAAGGCCACGTTTTTAAGGGGTAATTATAATTACATCACCAGATAATTCTTTTAGATCAAACTGTTGGCTCCATAAGCCTAAACAATTCTGGGTCTTTACCTAACCAAGATCTCGGGATGATGATGAAGAGAAATGTCAAGAGGCACTGCACTGAGAAATGAGGTTAACAACAAGGTCCCCCAACTGCTATTTCAAGTCCCGAGAGATCTGCTGGGCGCCTCTGGCTCCAGATCAACAATCTACTAATGAAGCCAGCACCTCGTCTAGCAACAAAGGCCAGTGCTGCTCTCTAGAACAAATCACTTATGTTGTTGACAAAGCCTTGGCACGGCCAAGAGACGTGCCAAAGACACCACCTGTCCGGAGAGGAACCAAACAGAGGATCTCGTGCCAATCTAAGACAAAAGGCAAAGAGTCTTGGCGGCGTCCACTGTTTGTGCTTCCTCTGCCCCCAGAAGCACTTCCAAATGCACAGGGGGCACTGTGTGTTCTCCTCCAGAGAAGGCGAAAAGGCTGAGGTTACTGGAGGAATTAAGAGTTTCTTTAAAAAATGAAAAAAAAAATCAAGAAGAAAACAAATAAGAGAAATCTTTTATGTGCATATATTTGAACATATCTGTAAAAGTGCTCAGCACCATGCCCGGCACACAGTAGGTGCTCTACAAATGCTTATTCCCTTCTCCCTTCCCAAAAGAAAGTAAGCTCTCAGAGGACAGGGGTTTTTCTTTTTGTCTTTTCCTTATCAGCGCTTGCCACACAGTGGTTGCTTAATTGATGACTTTTTTCTGTTTGTTTTGTTTGTTTTTGTTTTTTTGGCTAGGCATGGGGTTAAGTGACTTGCCCAGGGTCACACAGCTAGTACGTGTCTGAGGTCGGATTTGAACTCAGGTCCTCCTGAATCCTAGGTTGGTGCTCCATCCACTGCGCCACCTAGCCGCCCCAATCAATGACTTTTAACTGATCGATTAATAAAGAAGGAAAGGAAAGATGACACAGTTGAGATGTGGGAAGTACACATTTCAGTGGGTTCTGAGAAAGGATCCAAGGACTTAAAACTTTGCTGGAGGAGATTAAAACAAGGGAGATATTTTGCGCTCAACAATGAAATTCTGAAGACACAAGCAGACACTAAAAAGAAGAAGAAAAGGTGAAATACTAGAGCCCAATGTGGATGCACAGAGAATTCATCAACACATTCCAGCTGTAAAGGGAAGTGACAATGGCTGAACAGGAGAGGCAGGTTCTCTGAAAGCGTCAGGATCTTTCACAACGACAATCAGGGGAGATTTCTTAATGTGAAAAGGGCAAGAGAAAAACCGACCCCCAAACGAGACCTGACCACCTAAAATTAAACAGGTTTTGCACATACGAAATCCTTGCGGCTGGCGTAAGAAAAACCATCAAGTGGGGAAGTGGACAGATCAAAATCAAATACCAATGGGAAGAAAATCTAATCCCAACAGGCATTCCCTGATAGGCGAGTGTCCTCAGAGGAAATGCACAGTTTTTAAAAGAAGAAATGCAAATCACTGATGACTGTGTGGGGAAAAAAAACGCTCTGTCACAAATAAAAATTCACCAAAATCCTCCTAACAGGCCCGGAACTGGAAACAACGGTGGGGTCTAACTCCTGGGAAACAGCCAAGTAAACTGTGGTATGAAGACATAACACGATGTTCCTGCGGGGTAAGAAGTGGTAATTCTGCTAATTCTCTCTTAGGCTTTCAGCGGCCTTCCTCGGCCCTCCTCACCCACCTCCTGTTCCTCAAGCCCTACTCTGCCTCTACCATCCAGTTATTCTGGCTTCCTTTCGACCCCTCCATCTTCTGATTCCAGGAATTTTCACTGGCAGGCCTCCGGGCTTGATATGCTCCCCTTTATCTCTGCCTCTAGACTTCTCTAGCTTCCTTTAAGGCTTAGCTAAAATCCAGTCTTCTCATCTCCAAAGGACTCAGGGTGGAAAATGCCGTCCACATCCAGAGAAAGAACTAGGGAGTCTAGATGCAGATCGAAGCATATTTGCCCTCTTCTTTACTTCTGTTTAATTTTGTTTCTTCTTTCTTGTGGTTCCTCCTATTGGTTCTAATTCTTCTTTACAGCATGACTAATGTGAAAATATGCTTAGTAGGAATGTGTATGTAGAGCTTATATTGGATTGCATGCCATCTTTGGGAGGGGAGAGAGGAAGAAGGGGGAGAGGAAGAAGGGAGAGAAAATTGGGAACTCAAAAGCTTATGGAGGTGAATGTTAAAAACTAATAATAAACTAATTAATTAAAAAAAAAAAGATTCCACTAGGAGGTTTTTGACAAGAAGATAAAATCTATACATATATGAAGGCTCTTAGTAGCATTATTTGTATATGAAGGTTCTTAGTAGCATTATTTGTGAAAACAAAAAGCTGGGAAGAAATATATGTTTAACAGTTGAAGACCAACTGAATGAATTATGCTGTATGAATGTAAAGGAACATTAGGGTGCCATAGGAAATGACATATTAAGAATTCAGAGAAACACAGAAAGATATGTGCAAAGTGATGCAGGTTGAAGAACATAGAATCAAAAAACCCCAGTAACTGCAGCAACACAAATGAGGTCATCATTGCAAGGCAAGGCAACAAAATCATGGTCTAATACAACAGTTAATGTTAATACAGCATTTAAAAGTAAAAAGAGGGGCAGCTAGGTGGCGCAGTGGAAAGAGCACCAGCCCTGAAGTCCGGAGTACCTGAGTTCAAATCCGGCATTTGACCAAACACTTGACACTTACTAGCTGTGTGACCTTGGGCAAGTCACTTAACCCCAACTGCCACCCCCCCCAAAAAGTGAAAGATACTGCACTCTTAAAAAAAAAATCCATTCTTCTGCAAAAAGTATCCTCCATAATGTCAGGGCCTTCCCTCTGATATTATCTCCAATCTAGCTGGTTCACATATAAATCTTTGCATGTTGCCTTCCCTCCCCCAATTAGATGGGTGAGCTCTTTGAGGGGCAGGGACTGTGCTTTGTAGTCCTAGCACTTAGCACAGTGCTTAGCACATAGTAGGCACTTAATAAATGGTTGTTGACTGCAGAATTCAGAGAAACAGAAGAAGAATTATTTAAACTGAAGCAGAGTGTGATGTAACCAAAAATCATAAAGCCTACAATAATGGAATGAAAACACCCAAAGGACACCAAATTCTGAATGACTGTAACGAGCAATCTCCATTCTCTAAGCAAAGAACTCTGGGGACAGAATGTTGCGTGGACTGTCTGGTCAAGCTACTTATTTTAGTTGATTTTCCTTGGGGTGGGGCGGTGGTAAGATATGGAGATAAGGAGAAATGACAACAGGACACAGGAGGCTTAGAGCCCTAAAAAAGCTCTGGGTGGTGATGAATGCCTAGGACAACAAAAAGGGTTTGCGGTTTTGTTGTGAAAATAAATTTTCACTGATATCTGTGTTTTCACATCCCCTAAACTTCCCAATGTATTCGTCTCTCTTCCCCACTTCCAGAAAGCATTCCTTAGAATAAAGAATAACAAGGAAGGGGAAGAGGTGGTCGGAAAAACTAACCAGTTTTTGTTGGGGGGCAAAAAGGGACCCAACACGGGTCACTGATGGTTTGCATTTCTTCTTTTGAACACTGCTCATTTCCTCTGATGACACTCACCTATCAGGGAATATCTGTCGGGATTAGGTTTTTGTCCCCATTAGTATTTGGCCTGATGGTAGGAGGGTTAGGGTTAGGGTTTTGTGTTCTCTGCTCTCTTAGGTCATTTCTGAAGGTGCTACATTTTATTTTATTATTATTCTTTTTTTTTTTTTGCTGGGCAATTGGGGTTAAATGACTTGCCCAGAGTCACACAGGTAGTAAGTATTGTGTGTCTGAGGCCAGATTTGAACTCAGGTCCTCCTGACTCTAGGGCAGGTGCTCTATCCACTGCACCACCTAGCTGTCCCAAGGTGCCACATTTTAGAAAGGACAGCAGCCAGCTGGGTAGAGTAACTCCTCCAGGACTGGAGACCCTATCACACAAAGGGGGAAGGAACAAGGAGGATTGTGTGGCTAGAAAAGAGAACTCTTAGGGGAGAATCAAAGCCGTGAAGGGCTATGGCCTGGAGTGAAGGAAGGAAAGAGCAGTTTGGAGGCTCCTGCTAAAGGGATCAGAGCTCTCTGCTCAGCTCCAGAGGGTGGTAAAAGAAGTTGCGGCTGATGCCGGATGCTATGGAAAAACTTCCTAAAGATTAGAGGAACTGCAAGGTGGTTGATTTCCCCTCTTCGGCAGGGCACGGCTGACCCGTCTGTACGAGTTCGGAGCATTCTGCGACGGCACAGGCTGGTGTGGATGGCTGAAAATGCGGGAGAGCCCGAGCCTCAGGACCTCCCCCTTCATTAACTTTTGCTGCTTCCAATCACTTTCTTTCCACTGCTGAGGACGGGACTGCCAGGTCTGAAGAGAAGACCAGTAAGGATGAGCCTCTTTTCCTCTCTAGCTGATCAGTAAGAGCACATATATGGTTGCACCTACTGGGCTAACTTTCCATCTCCTCAATCCACTAAAAATGAGTATATTCATAGGCAGTTAGGCAGCACATTGGGGCTGAAGACCTGAGTTCAAATCCAGCCTAGCTGCGTGACCCTGGGCAAGTTATTTAATCTGTTGCCTCAGTTTTCTCAACTGTAAAATGGGGATAATAATAGCACCTACCTCACAGGTTGTTGTGAGGATCAAATGAGATATTTGTAAAATGTTCAGCACAGTGCCTGGCACTTTGCAGGCACTATATAAATGCTAGCTCACTATAATAATAATTATTATTACAATTATTGAAAACAGACAAATTCTAGCTATTGTTACTTGGAACCGGGGGTGGGGGGGAAACTAAATAAAGCATCAGTATTAATGCTATAAATTTAGAGCACTCAAAGCAATAACTAAGAGAATTAAATCCATAAAATTTTTTTGGAGGCTACATGGTCCATATTGGTCAAAATGGAATACATTTAATAGATTTTAAATATTTTAAAAATAAATATTTAAAGACAAATTTGACATAGCTGCGTAGCAGGGGAGCCAATCTTTTCTCTCTCCCTATGGCAAAGCCGCCAAGAGCACGCTGCTGACCAAAAATCCAAACGAGTTCCGTTTTTTTCCTATGCTTTTGAGTATGTCTCTACTGTGTCCTTCCTCAGGTTTTTTTGGAGGGGAGGGAGATGAGGAGATGAGCCCACAAGGGGTGATCACATGCTGCTGCCACCTTTCAAATAGAAAGGGAACCCAAGCCAGCTGCTGACCCTGGCAGCTGCAGCAGCCTTTCCAAGCATGGCATTGACAAGCAACTGGCATGCCAATGAAAACTGGCTAATGGGCCATGGACTGCTGACACCTGAGAGATCCCCATCATGGAACAAAGAGTCAAAGCCCACATCAATGAGAAACAAACAAACACACAACGCTTTCAATTCCTTTCCAGCCCAGTTTTCGTGCCTCTGTTAGGTTCCCACGCTAGCAAACACATTCTGTATATACCAGAAGCTCATCCATGCTGGTCTGACATTTTTCCAGGTTTATCCGTTTGATGGCCACTTTCTCCTTCTTGGGGGTACAGCATGCTGCTTGGACTACCGCCGTTGCTCCACTTCCTGAAAAATAGTAAGAAAGAGGTGGTTAAAAGAAAGTATGAGGATTCTGGAAGTTAACATTCAGTGCACTCCATGAGAATTTAAGCAAATGGGGAGTGAATAACTTAATTCCAGCCTAAATTTTGCATAAAGCAATAGACAAAAAGAAGAGATGCACATCAGAAATAGTCCATGAGTAAACAAACATAGCACAGACTGGTAGGGCAGAAAGATACACAAAGGTCACCTAGGCCAGTGGTTCTCAAACCGGGTTAGACAGAAGTGAAGTTACAAGGGGCTCCACAAAGAAACCTGTAACAGTGGACCAGAGCCCCCAACAAACCAACCTACAGACTCTGGCATCTGTGTCAGTTACGCAATTGGATATTAATCAAAATTAACCACATGACTGACTCATTAGACTCTTAATTAATGGTCTAGATTCAAACACTAAATGCCACCAACGGCAAAGCACACAAACTGAGGGCTGTTGGCCTGTCTCAGGAGGACAAATATAAAATCAACCTTTAGCCATTTATAGTTTCAATTTGGGAGTGGTTTTTTTTTTTTTTACTACAAGAGTTTTTGCAGTAGACAAACTCTCATTATAGATAACTGAGTTAATCTGTAAGTCGAGAGGGCAGGAAATGAAAAGCATTAAAAACCTAATGAATAAACAAACCAGCAGCAATAAAGCTTATTCGAATATAAAACCTAGATGATGATGATTTCCAATTTGGATTTAGGAATCCCATTCCCTGTGCCAAGGATGTCTTTTCTATCATTCCATGGCCCTCAAAGACTTCAAAAGGACAGCTCCAAATCCACTGTAGGAGCCCTTCCAGACCTGATGTCCTCTGGGCTCCTTTCCCTCTTCCCCAAGGCCCCTCCCCCCAAGCCTTTCTATATTGAATCTCTCCTCAGTGAGAAAGCACCCATGCTGCCTCGCCAACCAGGTTGCTGTCTTGTATAACATCATCAGCTCCTCATTACTTGGATTACTGCAAGATAACACAACTGTTGGTCACTTTTCAATTCAACTCAACCAACGTTTATCAAGCATCCATTGTGGACAGAGCTCCCTGCCACGTGCTGAGGGAGAGCTCAAGTTTGTATAGTACACCTTCCACAAAACAACCCTTTTGCTAGGTAAGGAAATCAGCTCTGAGAAGTGAGGTTACTGGCCCCCACAGCTAAGGGACTGGCAGAGCCAGAGGCCTTTGGACTTTCCACTTTCCACAGTGCCACCGGGTCCATGCCCACGTGAAGCAGACAGCTCAGGGAACAGGACACAAATAAAGCCATTTATCTCAAATAGCTCCATTACATTAAGGGGGTGCAAACCACAATCCCTTCACACTTTAAGTAGTGAGTTAATGAGCGGTTCTGATCGAAACAAACAAACAAACAAAAAAACCTCTTACCAGCTCTAAAGCAGTAATGCTGCCTTCCCTCAGCTAGCCTCCTAAACCTCAGCCATCAAGTACAAAGGTGCACAAAGACTACTACTGCTAACAGAGAAGGCGCAGGCAAGGGAGGGAAGGGCCTAGGGTGGAGCTGCACACCCCCTCCTCCAATGCTCCTTTCCTGATCCTGCTTTGTCCTGCCTCTCCTCCCATCTGACTGCTCCTCCTCGGGCTCCTCCTGGCTTCCTTCAAGTTCCAGCTGAGAATTCCACCTGCAAGCAGGTGCCCTTCCCAACCCCGCTCCACGCCTGCACCTTCCTCTGAGGTTACTGTCTAGACTAGAGCTTGTCTGCACTTCGTTGTTTGTATGCGATCTCCCCCATTACGTCCTGGAGAGCCAGGCCTATTCAGGACCTTTCTCTCTTCGTATCTCAGCCTCAGTCCGGTCCCTGGCACGGAGCAGGCACTTCAGAAGTACTTGCCCTTACGTTCAGGATCTGGCACGACCTGGCTCCAACCCACCCCTCCAGGCTCACCTTCCACTAGACCCATTCAAAAGAAGAAACACAAGTTGTAAATCGCCACGTGAAAGAGTGGTCAAAGTGATCAAAGAAATGCAAATTAAAACAACTCTGAGATGCCACGTTTTGCTCATCAAAGTGGAAAAATACTTCAAAGTTCAAACCTGATACCCCTGTGGAAGAACCGGACCCTCATTTTCTGAGGGAATTATAAACCAGCGCAGTTTGGGAGAACGATACCAAACTGGACACCAGGAGCCGTTCAACTGACCACTCATCTCACTAAGCCACCCTATGCCACTAGTAGGACATTACCAACATGGAAAAAGACCGACTCACAAAAAAAGAAAGAAGATTCTAGGGCAACTAGCCATCCATGACAGCGAAGTGACTGGCAACAAGCTATGGAACTGAGTGTTGGGGAGAGCGAAGAGCCGAAGATGGTATGTTAATGCAATGGGCTGTTACTATTTCATAAAACGTGACAAATACAAAGAGCACAAGTAAATACGGGGAAACGTGAATTAATGAAGAAGAAATAAAAACACATCCAATGACGCTGAAAATAACAATAATAATAGCAAAATAACCAAAACCCAAACTGAGAAATACACAGGTAAGTCTAAGACACAGAAAAAGGTCACTATTACTATTACTTTAATATTAAGAGGGACTTTGAAAAGCTGACACATATGGTTTCATGTACAATGTTTCTTCTGGTTCTCATTTATGTATTCACATGTATGTTTGCCAGTGTACATATTAAGAGCATTAAAAAATTCGAGTGTCTTTGTCAATGATATTTTCATCCTGATCCTTAAAAAAACATCCTAAGTTTTCTCCACATCTCATTAATTTGAAGGAGACAATGTCCAGAGGCACTTCTCCAACTCAGGATGGTCCAACAAAATAGTTTACCCCCCAAAGCAAAGCTACTTCTACATAATAAAACAAATACAACGGTGCCCCGCCACCTTGCAGTAGGCTCCTCCAACTCTGCCTGATGGCCTTCCTTCAGCCACCACTGTCTCAGCAGCAGTGCTTAATGGGCACCTTGGACCAAACATCCTTAAAATCCCCTGGAACCTGAAGGGTGGCGCCCTGCTGTTTGGTTCTTTCTGAAGGGACAATAAACTCTGGCTTATCTATTTTGTGGATTATTCACAATAAAAATGTTTTAAGCCTAGCTCAGCTTTCCCTTAACACTCAGCAGGCTTTCAGTTACACAAAACAACCATTTGTTACTCATAAAATGATTTTAATAACAGCCTGGCCAAGACATAATTATGAAGAGTGGAAATATCATAATATATTCCAAAGCCAAAGAGAAATGATTCAAGGATTAACTATGCAACCCCTCCCTCCTCCAACACAAGGATAACTAGGGCAATGATGACAACAAAAATCTGCAGGGTTTTTTTTTTTAAGCTTGAGAGAAGAGATAACAGATTTCCTCTTTACTACTTCCATTCACTCTAAATCAGGGGTTGCCATTTCTGCAACTAATGATGCTGAGTGGGATGTATTCTAACTCAATATTACATAGGGATGATAACCATTCTCCCCTAGAGACAAAAGACCGATCCAAACCTAATCCCCAAGTTAGAAGGGAAACTCCCAAAAATCCAAGGCTGGTGCTCACGTACGAGTGGGTTTGCACACTTCCCTAGTGGGTTACTCACGAATTCTAAGAAAGTTCTAATCAAGGAGCAGAACTGTCCCTCCCTCTACCTTACTATACCCATTGCTCCGCATTCCTCACTCCAGAACTGAACAAAAAAACACAAGACAACTCTTCAAGTGTGCGCAGACAGAAACGTCACCTGGGCAGTCTTTTTTTCTGGGCAAGAAGCACTTACAGTGCTTACAGGCCCGTTCGTCTCCGTGATCTTTTCAAGTACACAGTGTTTATGACTTGCTAGCATGGACACAGGTGCCAGAGGGGTGGAGGATCAGGGCGCTACACCTGTCCAACATCACAGGTCCTTCCCCATCTGGGCCACCCTTCTGCTCTCTCTCTGGTGACTGAAGCTCATCCCTTCTCCTAAACTGGGCACCCCAGACCCAATGTGACTTGTGGGAGGGACACCGGCCTGGCCTTACGCCCACCCCAAACAGAAGATCTCGACTTTCCTTTAGGTGTTTAAAGGAGGCACAGCACAGTACAGAAGCGCCCTGGCCTCTGAGTTAGCGGGATCTGCCCTTATTCCCCCACCCCGACTCCACACACATCCCCTTAGGAGCCGCGTGACCCTGAGCAAGAACTTCAACCAGTAGGTTTGCTTCCTCGTCAGTGAGGTGGAGTTCATAACAGCAACGCCCAAGGCCTGGGGATCCTAGGGATCAGATGAGAACGGAAGCAAAGTGCTAGGCATACCTAAAGCAAGATAAAACTATGAGCTACTGTTATGTTATCAAGTCCACTAAGGAAGCAGAGAGAGGAGCCACACAATTCATGGAGGCTGACTTCCATTCGGAGCCGTCACACAATTTCCCAACTGGAAGGAGAAGACCTCACAGGCCTCCCGAGAAGCCCCGAGGTGCAAGAACTTGGCTTGGGGGGTTTCTGGCTTTGCTTTTCTGTTTGGATTCAAACCAGATTCATTACCTTTCTTCTCTCAGCCTCCAGCTCCCCCACAGTCACGGTCCAGGGTGCCACCCAGGCTCACAACCTCAGCGTCCTTCTCCACTCCGCTTTCATACACCCAACGTAGCCAATCAGTGGCCAAATCTGGTCCTTTCTATCTCCACATCCACCCACTTCTAGGTGAACCTTCTCCTGACCTCCCTTCTTCCCCAAACTATCTGGGAGCCATTTTTTACGTATAACACATATACTTACATGTATGCGTGTTGTCTCCCCCATTCAATGAAATCTCTTTGAACACAGGACCAGTTTCCCTTTGGTCTTTCTTTCACTCCGTCACTGGGCCTGAACACAACAGGCACTAAATAAGAAGGTCTGCTGCTAAATTACACGGACCTTAAAGTCCACCAAAAATCTTCCATCTTTTTCCAATGAACTGCTGTCTACCTCCTGCTGGCCCAATCTTATACTTAAAGAGCCCATTTTCAAACACAAATACAGGCTTCT